TAAAGAAGATGAATCCCTAGTGCAGAGCATGCTGCTAGGAGGTGTCACAGTGCTCTAGTGCTAAGGCGTGGACGACCAGTAACATCATTCTTTCACCACCCTCAGTTTCTCCTGCAGCTCCTTCACATATCCTCTCTGATGACATGACGAATATGACTCTGTCACCAAAACGCTGAAGGCAGGCTGTAATAGGACAGAGAGCAAGTGAAACAGATAGACACCAGGGGGCAAAGGTCAAGTTTTATCGATAGAACCAAATGAAATGGGAAGCTAAGTGGAAAGAGATATAAGTAATGTTTATTTTAAAACATACAAATCTGACATATGCAACAGATTGGATTAACATAACATAGCAGGTAGTTAATTTTGAAAAGTAAAAATATGAAATGTTGGCTGTACTCAGTCCCCTTTACTCAGATACATTTAAATAATATCAAGTGCAACCTGCTTCCTAGAGGCCACTAATGTGCAATTTAAACTCAGTACAAATTAAGCTGTTCTATAAAGGCATCTGAGTTTTTTTTTTTTAATAATATTTATTAGTAATCAGTGTGACATGCCTTTAGGAACAGATTATTGGTGCATTTGTATGGATATTTAAAGGAAGGTTGTTAAAAAATTATGATACACAAGATTGTTTAATCCATCCCTAGAAATCAAAAGAATACGTAAATATAGAAAACCTACCGAGACATGGCTGTCTACATAAATTGACAGGCTGGACAAGGGGAGTAATAGCAAGAAAAAACAGCCAAGGGACCTATAATTACTTTGGAGCTGCAGGCATTCACAATTCAAGTGAGACAATCTGTGAACTAAACAAATAATAGTTTGCCACCTCAAAAGTCTGCTTTTTATAGAAAAGATTTTTTAAGACCCATTTGCATTCTCATGCTGGGGACACAGCAAACAAAAAAGATGCTGTTGTGGTCAGATCAGACCAAGATTAAGGCTTTCACTTGTATGCAGAAGAATATATTGAGAATAAAGCTAACATGGCACAAAACACAGAAAACACAATCCCTGTGGTGGAATAGTTTAATGTTTTCAGATCCTCTCCATTAAAATGTTGAGATTTAAAATGTGACAATTACGCCACACTCTGTGTTGGTCTGTCACAAATCCCAATAAAATACACCCTGTTCTCAAAATGTGAAAAGGTCTAAGGGAGATTAATACATTGGCCAGATAGTATTTTTGTCCTATCCTAAAATGTCTAAAAATCAGTGTAACTTTTTTTACATATAAATTTGCTCATTTCCAGCTCCTCATTGTTAATGAGAAGATGTCTTATCACGCTGCACTATTACAACTCAGTTTTTGACTTTACTATTTGATGTTTTACAGCACCTTTGTGGCTGGAACTCTTTGCCTTGGTCCAAGGTTGCCGTTGGTTACTTGTGATCAGCAAATGTCTGCTGGCAGAATAAGTAATATCTCTTTGGGGAACTCTTCTCTTTATGCTCTGCTTGAGACTGGTGTGGGTATTGATTTGGTTTGTAGGGTAGAATTTCTCAAGGGAGCTAATAAAAATAATTACAAAAAGATCATCAAAGGACTGACCTGCTGTTGCTTACATGAATAAATATGTGACAAAGATAATAGAAAACAAAGCCAAACTGTGTGTGGTCAATGTAGCTGGAGGCATAGTTAAGAATGCTTTATCTCTGAATTAATAAACTAAACAGATTTTTCTGGAAAGTGAGAAGTCTACCATAATTACACCAATGAAGTGTATTTTCTCCTTTGAAGCATGAAAAGAATGTTTGACTAATGCAAATTGATAAGAAAACTGCCACCATTTAAATAAATTGGACATAGGTGGGTGCAAAGAATAAAAAACAGTTTCCAGATCACTGAATGTTTTATTCTATGTTTGCATTCTGGTTTTTTTTTTGCTCTCTGGTTCATGCTTTCCTCTAGAAGCGGGTGACTGCCTAGCCGCAAGGTGTAAAGTAAAGGTGGTGTTATTGCAGACAGGGGGAAACACAGCATCTTTGATTGGAGCGTGTGCCCCAAGCCCCATTGAAGTGCACTCACCTCAGCTCAGAGAGCACTTGACTGTACAGCACCAATGATCACATTAATAGGACAACTGGAAGCCCGTTTTCTGCAAAGGGAGAGGGGTAAAGGGGCCCAATAGGAGACTGGAAAGTAATTTTACTTGTGAGTGCTAAAATGGTTGGAGATGCAAAAGAAACCCTTTATCTAATTCTCTAGGATAACAATTAGGAATGGCCTTGTCATATGCAGACTCATTCAGATATGTTGTTTTTGCAAAATGAAACCGCAGGTAATGTTCAAATTCTTAAAATCTCCACTATTAAGACTAATGAAACTGTTTAGTTTTAACAGTGCTTTTAACATATTTCATACTCTATTAGCATTGCATTGTGTATTGATACATTTCCAGCTTTTATTGGGTTTTATGTCATAACCCTATTAGTGTAGTGTATTACTGTGAAGTAAAATAGAAATAGAACTAGAAATAGAAGAAACCTATATGGCACTTCAATTTGGTCTTCATGTTGATGTTTCTCCAACAGAGCTTAGATGTAAAAGAATAGCTGTGTTTAAATTTCCCCAAGATGAAACCCATTTACTAAATTGGCTACTTTTGATGTCCATTTTGTGCATAATGTTTAGCGGTCCTAAATTAAATTTGGCTAAATACATATGCATAAAAGATTAAGAACTAGCTTTTGTTTTATCTTGCATAAAAATTCAAATGAAATCCTTAGAATTCATTATTTTCATTTAACAAAATGTGAAAAGCTGGAAGTTTAAGCGTTAAACGAGTGTATATTTTTTGACACACATTAGTAGTTTTAATCTTTTGTGCCTCTGCACCTTACTCTCCCAACTAAATAACAACATTACATATCTATGTAGGACCTTCTGTGCACCTAACTCCACTTTCCCTGGCAGTGAAAGGACAATAGTAGAGGCATCTGCTGTGTTGATGTCCACAGGAAAGAACAGAGCAGATGGAGATTTGAGGTTTACGTGATTAGAGCGTAGTGGATTGGAATACAAATTGGATTTAAAAAAAATTAGACTGATATAGATCGAATGGTGTGGCCAGAGTTTTCTTTTTTGCATGCGCATTGGCCTTAGCGGAAAGCCCCATCAGGGTTTTGTGGATTATTGTGAGGGGATGCTTCAGTGTGATAAAAATAAATCTGTATTCAACACTTCCTCAAAGGAAAAGAGAGTGTCCATCACTTGTTTATCTCACTCACAATTAATCAATGTCATGGTAAAAAACTGCTGGGCTGCTTTAGAAGGTTGAGTCTAACATTGTCACAACTCCAACTTACTCTTAACAGAAACTTGTCTACAAAATATGGTAGAGTTTATAGTTAAATATTGAATGAATAATATCTAAAAGTGTTCTGTATTTGTTCTCATTTTTATCAAAACAGCATTAATCTTTCAACTCAGTGCCAGTAAGATTATATCATGAGCTGTGGGAACAAGCTATCGCCATCCACTAGTGCACAAACGGCCATCTGTAGCCCCACTTGGCAAAAGACACGAGGCCTGATCACTAATCAATGACGAAGGAAATGGAGGGAATTAGCCGAAATTAGGAAGAAGAGAGAACAGACTACCTCCTGTTCATGGGTCAATATGCTACTGTCTGATGGCTGATTCCTGTCGGCTGGTGGGTTGCTGCACTTTTGTGCTGAGAAAAGGCTTGTGTTGGGGGGGGTGCGTGTGTTTGTGTGTGTACAGCCACTTTAACTGTGAGGGGCATTTGTGCTGATAACTGTGATTCTAAAATTAATTGTTCTGTTGTAAGGGTGTGGTTTAAAGATGTAATGTTAGAGGTAATGAAGACATTTACAAACATAGCCTGAAAAAGGATTAAAGCCTTCCTTAAAACCTATGTCGCTGTAGCGCATGCACAAAGGACTTTGTAGTACATTAGGCATAAGTACAACATGTATTGTCCTATTAGCCCAGTTCACTCCCCCGGGGAAGGTCATAGTCATCAACTGTGGTCAATCATGCAACTCATTTGTTGACAAAACGCTCAGCTCTCAACTTAATCCAAGTCCTGATTGGTTAGCACATTGTTGCCAGCTAAATCACATTAAGTGATTTGAGAAGTGAAAAAAGAAAGGCCTTTTGGTTAAATGTTGGAAATGTTAACCTTGTTCCCTATATTTTAAAGTAGAACTTTGAATTTGTGTGCTTATTAGACTGTTTGATTTTTGCATAGCTTCCATGGCCTCTGTCATGTAAATGCATATGGCCCTTAGTGCCCTATCTCAACACTTGATTACAGATACATCAGGCACCAGGACTTGGGCAACATTATCTTACTCACCAGACTCTGAAAGCTCAGTTCCTGCAACCTTAATGCAAAGGAGTGGCTATGGTGCTGAGCGACAGTAGATTAACATATGACCTCCTTTAAAAAAAAAAAAAAAAAAAAAAACATTACTGTTTCCATTATTTTTGTGGCCTGGTTCAAAACTCAAAGACACCAGTCACAGTACTCTAAAGATGTCCCATTTACTTTTGACCAGAGTAGATGTCTATTGTGAAATATGTTCAAAGTGATGTCTATTAAACCTTGCATGCTTCAAACTTCAGTCTCATCTCTTATCTGGTTTGACTATTATTACCACAGGCAAGGATGCTTTTTGGATTTGGTGAATTTTAGCTCAAAGCAGCTCTAAAGCTTTTGGTAAAATTCTGATGTTTAACTTTGTTTAAAAACAGGTTGGTGATTTTCTTATCTACCATGTTGACATTAATAAGAGTAGGCTAGATCCAATACAAAGCCTTTAGGCCAACTTACTGTCCCTATCAGCAAAGTGTAACAATTTTAGAACCATCTACAGGAGAGAGAAATCTTTCTCATATTGGCATTTGAATTAACATAAGCTGTGCATATGAATGAACAAAAATGTCTGTAAATCAAATCATAGCTATAATTATCTTAGAAAAAAATAAATAAATTACCTTTGTCTTTTCTTTTACCTTAGGATCCCGTCTGCGGAACGAGGACTACCCACCTCGGATTGTGGAGCATCCTTCTGATCTGATTGTATCTAAAGGGGAGCCTGCCACATTCAACTGTAAAGCTGAAGGGCGACCCATCCCAACAGTTGAGTGGTATAAAGATGGAGAGCGAGTGGAAACGGACAAAGATGAACCACGTTCACACCGCATGCTGCTTCCGTCTGGCTCGCTTTTCTTCCTGCGCGTCGTTCACGGACGACGGAGCAAACCAGATGAGGGAGCCTATGTTTGCGTGGCCCGGAACTACCTGGGGGAAGCCGTCAGCCGTAATGCATCTCTTGAAGTAGCATGTGAGTTACAATACTATCACCTCTTCAGTCTTAACTTATTCTAATTATTCCATGTCTTTTGTTGGACTAAAACTCTTACTACTGCTGTAGTAAAAAAATAAAATTAAAAATAAATACTAATAGTAATAATAACCAACAAAAAATGAGTTTTTCTCTCAGGTTAATAAGATTCCATTTTTTTTGCAAACATAATTTGTATTAGGAAATTGCTCTGCGTTTACCATTAGAAATAAGAGAAAACAAATCAGCATTTAATTTGAGGCAACTGTAATTACATTATTCTTAGAGTTGATTTCATCATGCTTTCATTGTTCTCTGTTTGCTGATTCTGTAATGATTTCCTGAGGTCTTTAAAAGGTTGTTGTTAGCTGGGTAATGAGTTGTGGCAAAAGAGTTCTTCAGCCATAAATCTGATGAATTTGATACATGCTTAGCTCAGGGGAGCTGTTTTGATGTTGTCTGCAGATCTCTGAGATTGGACATAAAGCATCTGTCTGTCTCTAAGAGAGACAGGATGGCATGGCAGACATTGGGTCTCTCACTGGTGAGTGGGGGTAGCATGACAGGGACAGCTCCTGATGGACATTTGGTTCAAGCTGTCTGGACTGTGTTGATGACAGACAGAACTTGATCTGTGGATCAAATTACCTTTGAAGAAGAGCCTGCACTCCCCCCAGCAGGCTTAGGTTGGGTTTTCCATGCAGCCTGTCCCAGAGACCTCAAACAGTTCATGAGGTGGCGTGGGAAGTCTCCATTTTCTTTTGTTGTTCTGACCTGACATTTAATATTATAGCTTTGTGTTTCAAGCAAGACCTAGAAAAGGGATCACAAGACAGACTACATTTAGGGCTCACTGGGGAGGTATTGAACATCCTATAGTTTAAAACTAACAAATATTTGGTGGTTTAAAGGCTGTTAACAGTTGACCAAAACCACACATGGCAATCGGGGGAACAAACGGGTAAGTTGTTCTGGGTGGAGGTTGGGCCCCGAACCAGTCCCTCCAACTTATGGTCAAGAATATCTTTCTTGAAAAACATTTGTAAATAATAAATACTTTCCCATCGTCATTTTCTTTTCATTTACCATATGGTATTGGGGAGGTACTCCCAGCTCTTGTTCCAACATATCAGTGGTAACATATCTCTGAAGATTTTCTGTCATCCAGGTCATGGTCAAGCTTGAAAAGTTCTGCTTAGGCAACTGGATGTGAAGTTTTCTAGAAGACATTTTGCCTTTAATCATAAAGGCGTCTTCAGTTCAAGATAAAAAGAGAACAAAAGTAACTCATATAATAGCTTGTAGTTACCCTATACACAAACTATTTCTAGAATGCTAGAATTGTAGGATGATTGCTTATTGGTTCATGGTTGGTTTTACTTGGCATATTGCATGCAAACTATGTGATAGGAACTGGTTATCTTTTTTTTAAGCAACAGTTTCTTGTACACTTTACATAAATTGCGGTCATTCAGAGTTATTTTGTTTTTAGCACAAGATATACTGTAAACTGTCATCAGGAAACTATGGCTCAATAGAAAGAGCAATCATGTTCCATTTAAAAAGTTGTTGGCTGCATTTTGGGTAATATGCCAGCTTCATTACCTTACCACATATTGGTGTACCCTTGGACAGCTTATTTTTATTTGTGTGTGCAGGTTTGTGAGTGCAGCTGGTGAATATGTTTTTAGTGTAAAGTACATTGAGAGGTTGTTGGTCTGACTAAAATAAGTGACTCTATTTGCCATTGTACCAATTGGTTCTAAAGCCTGGATTGGGTAAAAAGTGGATCAGAGTCACAACAAATGTATATGTAGCAACATATATTCTCCTTTAAATAATATATAATTAATGGAATTGTAAAATATGAGCATTTTTATATGATCAGGACTTATCTGTATCCATGATTATAATATTATATTTAAATATAATAAACTAGCTTTAAATATAAAGTAATAAACAACAGGTTAAATAAATATTTATCAATAGAGTGTCTGTGGGTTTAAAATTAAAGGAATACAAGATAGAAAACTGAACTCATGAGATGGATTGACCTATAGAGCCAGTATCGAGAACAATGGAAAAAACCAAAGCAATATATTACTACTGCTTTCTGTTTTTCTCTCACTCGTAAACTATTATCAATTGATTATATTTGTGGCTAAAATAATACAAAGATGAAGCGTGGAAAAGATGTAAATAGAACAAATACAACTATTCCTTTTTTTTACCTAGATGTCTAGAACGTGATCCAACCATTGATCACTGTAGAGTCAAAAGTTTGCTTCTTCCAACAGTTATTAACTTTGGAAATCTTCATTTAGTTTTAAAGAACTATCTGCTAATTAATTAGAATCTGAAACTATAATAAAGTTTTATTAAAGTAGAGCGATTTTAATATAAATGATTGGAGCAGATGAAATCCCCCATAGGCACGTTTAAGAAATCTGAGATGAGGAGAAAGAAAATGGAAAAATGAAGGTATTATATTATATTAAGACCTTAATGACTTGTTGAAATTTTAATGAAATGTAATGTAAGAGATATGAAATAAAAAATGTCCTCAAGTTGATTTATTGAATTGGTGTTTGAGGGAGATAAGTGTCCTGCCAAGGGCAACAAAATAGTTAGTCAGTTTGAAACAGAAATTTACTTCTACTTAAGTATAATTACATTTTTCTTGTTTACTCTCACTTTTGAATATGCTGCAGCTTCAGTGTTACATTTTTCTTTTGCCTGTTGCCTCATACCTTTTTTTTTTTTTATACTTGGAGAGTAATAATTGCTTACTTCCATTAGCCTGTTGATGGAGTTGAGCATCTCCACCATCTATTGGTGGCCTTTTGATAATAAACTGAACATTTCAAACATGGGTGTATGGCTCTAATACTGTAGGGATAAATAAGCGGCTTCTACTTGGAGTGGAAGTTCTTCTTAGTCTTAAGCAGATATCTCCAGCCTAGATTAGTGGCTCTGTTGTGGTTAACCTAAGCATCTCCACCTTAAGGCACAGGCCCATATCGGAACAGGATAAACAGTGCTACCCAGGGTCAGCAGCCTTAATGGAGAAAAATTAAGCAGTAGAAGGAGGTGAAGAGAAATGCTAAATCCCTCTACATGGGGCCTTTTTACAGTGATTAGTTTCCTTAAGACCCGACATTCATCTAGTGATTTTAAGTGCAAAGTCATTAGCACATTGGATTTCACATCTAAATCTAATTCCCTGTTGCGCCAAGAGTATGATATATCCAACAACCACCCACACCAACCACCTGTCCTCCTCTACCTCTATTTTTGCTTCAAAGTATTGGGGACACCATTCCCCCCCCAACGTTCAGCAGTGGTTGGACAAGATTCTTATGAATTAATTGAATTACAACTTAAAAAAACAGCTTAACTCATTCCTTTGTGGAGTGGAACATCTTTAGCTTGACACCACTCTAGCTAAGGGGGAGAAAAACAGAAGAGGAGGGAGAGGTCTAACCCCTCGATTACACTGGAAGTGGAAGCCGCGCCTACTTGCGTCACGAAATGTAGTGGGGATTTTTTTTGTTTGATTTTTTTCAGCACATATGGGGAAGGAGTAATCCCAAGGGATAAATAAAGTTGAGTTTAAGTCTAAGTCTAAAAGACCCTAGGCATTTACCTTTGAACAGGAAAACATCTGGTCAACGCCAAGACTTAAATTTAATTGAAAATATGGGGTATCCCCTAATTTAAGAGTTTATAAACCATCTCAACTGACATAGCCAGTAATTTAGTAATTAATGAAAGGTAGAAAAAAACAGCAGTTTTTTTTATTTGCTAGGCTGGTAAAAGTAAACCACATAAGACAAAGCTGTAATTGGAGTGAAAGATGTCTCTAGACGGTCAATACAAAAAAATGTTGAAGGAATAGTTTTACTTCCTCTTAATCAATACTTTGTATTGGTCTAACACATCAAATATTTAAAGACTTTTGTTTGCATCACAAAATATAGGAGTATTAACACCACTCTACTTTTTTTAAAATGTTATAAAAAATTGATTTCCTTACAGCCGTTGCCTGAATTAAAAGTGCAAAGAAACTCTAAACATTTTGCCAAGAGGAAATCTGAACATCTCCTTTGCATCTGTTCCATGAACCAGCTATATAAGATTAATATACAACTATGGGCATTAATATGTGTGTCCCTCTTTCTTTTTCTACTGACTAAAGTAGGTCAATGAGTTGGTTCATAAATCATGGTGAAGACTCTGTCAGAAATTGTTCCTAGAGCCACTGCTGCTGAACAAGTTGCTAACACTGCAACTATCTGTATATATTTAAGTGTGAAAATGCACACCTGAGGCAACAGGATCCCGAAGAAAATTTTAATTTGGCCAATCTTTTCATGTAGTTGGCAATCTCACATTCCTGGAACTCCACAAATGATCTTGAACTCTAGAGTGGGCTGATGCAATTTTAATTGGATACCAAGTGACTTGGATCTTCTGACATGCACTTTATGAGCTTGCCTGTGTACTAAATGTTTATAATAATCGGGGGGAGAGGTATCACAAATGGATGAAGACACTGGGTCCTGACGTGTAGCTTCACACCCTTGCGGCTATATTCAGTTTCTAACCTTTAAAAATGCAAATGATACAGAAATAAAACAGATGTCTTGGGTGGGTTCGAAATGCCGCTTGAAATGGGACTGGATGACTTTTAAAAAGGTCCTTTGATATCATCTAATGCACCACTTTTGCAATTAGGAGAATCGTTAGGTAGCGGTTTGGTTCTCATACAACAATGTAATTAGCAAGAAAATAGAGTTGGGAGAAGTGTCAGCTTTGAAGAGAGGAGGAGGGAGGGTACCAAGCTGTTCCCGTTGTGTCCAGCATTAGGAAAAGCTAATAAAGGGTAGGCCAAGAGGAGCAGGCCAGGTGGGGAGAGAGGATGAGCTACACTGTGGTGCCTTTCACAAGCTCATCTGGACTCATTATTCCTGTTCAGAAATTAGACAAGTCCACACAAACAACAGACACCCATTCACTCCCGGAGATGTGGGCACAGACACCT